GCGCTCTGAAGTACACCCCTGGTTAAGAAGCAGAGCTTTGCGGAGCTTGAACTTAAAGTCCTAAGGCTTTTCAGCTAAGCCAAAAGCATGATATTATTTCCTCCGCTTCTTACTGGAGGGCATCATGCCTACAACAGACGTCTTTTCGTTTACCATACTTCGTTGCTGCTCTCAATTTGCAAGGACAATATGAAACGCAACACTAGCGTAACAAGATGTGCGCAGGAGTGCCTTTGAAGCCTCAAGCGAACGTGTGATACAGGGATGATTCTAAAAATGACACACAACTAAGACTGGCTGCTCCTTTCGCAGGAAATGAAGTCCATAATGAGCGGAACAAGCGCATCGCCTCCCAACTTGCCGGCCGCACGCTCGTGCCAGCTTGGAGCCACTGAATGCAGCGTGGCGCTGGCAGTGCTATCAATTTAACACACAGACTAATGGTCACTTCCGAAGGCTGAAGCCTAGATAGGCCACGGCGCGTGCACGAGCAGAAGGAAGTGAAATTCGAGAAAATTTGGACCCCAAAAGCGTCCAAATCGCGTCGTCGATTGTTCTGCTTTATGGAATCAGGGATTACCCTCACTCAACTTTGAAAGAGAATGCACTTGAGAGCCTGATCACCTAATGCTTGTGGCCAAGTACTGATCTTAGAATGAGCTACAAACCACCTCGTGAAGCTGGCGAAAATGCGATCGTACGCATAAGGGATGCTCAATATTTTTGCAGCATGGATCTGGAGCGATTCTCTTGGTTTGCGCAAGACTGCAAGTCCGCAAGCTTTACAGACTATCGAAGTAATGTCGTAGTGACGCGGTGTCTGAACACAGCTGCACGCTGCACGAAATCTTAATCAATGCTGCCATAACAGGGGGACTTCATCACCAAAAGCAACAGATCCCCAAGGAAGGTAGGCTTGGTGCCATCAACAACCTAATAGTCTCATGCCCACCTTAAACACGAAAGTAAAATCTAGCGAGGATGGTTCTTTTTCTCTAAAATACGGCAAGAGAGGGACAAACTGTGCTTGACTAACCGAGAAAATCACGCTTTATTCTCGAAATAGAGCAAATAAGTGAGCACAGATGAAAGATACACTTCTCTCCTTCCACAAGAAAGCTGAGGCTTGTGAGCACCTGACTTTGAGCGACTGAGGAAGGTATATTGCAGAGCGATAGCCTGCTGTTTCACTGCTGATAGCAATGAAAACGTTGGAAAGGTGTGGACTGACGACAGTAAACAGCTTCCTAACACTTATGGCAATTCAGAAGGCCTACGCACGGTATGCTCTCCCCCAACACAGTACATCACGAACTGACTTCGACTAGGAAAGAATAGGACACTGGGGTAAATTCAAATACGAAAGTCATTGTTTTCTTCTGCATCAAGGGTAGCCTTGCAGCTATGATGCCTATCCAACTCTCGGTCGGAGCAACAAGCTCACCTTTTTACAGCAAAAACTCATCTGTGTCGATTAGTTTCCAATTGGGTCTGGAACGAACAACGCGACAAAACTTTATGTGTCTGTGGAGCACGAACATTCAACAGTGATTAACCATAGGACCAAAGGCAACCTAGCCTGACCGCATGGCAAAATACAGTGGGCACTGAGACACGGAAGGGATCACGAATATTCACCTGGAAAACAATTACAAGGAGAATTGAAGTAATAGGAGTGACTTGCAGTTGCTCATTGACGTCGCCGCTGTTGTTTTTACCACTCAATTATAGAAGCTTGCGAAGGACGCAGCTGCCGCTTTGCCGTCGTTGTTCGGAATAAGAAAAGGACCTAAGCTGACCGTTTTCTGCATTGTGTACCTATCTGGAGTTTTGCTTAAATGATTTGCAGGGCCGTAATTGTGGTGCGATTTTATGTACGAGGCATGTGGGACCCGGTGGCACTTCCAGAAGCAAGTGGCGGCTCAGGCCTGCCGGTGCCGTTTGTATGGGAGCCAGCTTTCTGTCTGTTGGTCGTCGAAAAGCATTCTCAATCGCCCAGTGAATGGCAACATAATCAGGTAGATGCAGATGACGGTGAACTGTTGACCTGTTTTTAGGTACAGATGCAGTGCTTGGTAGCCCTACGTGGCTACATAACTACTGACAGAAGGGCCATCCAAAATTCTTGTGTTTTGTATCCTTCTGAGTTGCAGAAATGAGTTGTTGAACTGCTTTTTTCTGAAGCTGCTTATATGGCAGTCAGTCGGTACTGCAAGCGCCAGCGCAGCTAGCTGCAGAATCTTTACGGTGCACCAGAGGCTGTAGAATGAGAAAGTGGACGGGAATTTCGAAAGATTCATGTGATTCTGCAAAGAACTTTATTAAATGAGGCTTACTTTACTATTGTTTGTGGCGGGCAAGTGGAGTTGGACCACGCAGCAAGCGAACTGCACTTGGATCGAGTGCGAGTTGGCTCGGGTCGTTGCGCATCGCAGAATTTCGTTACAACAGTGCCGATATTTTGACAAAATATATCTGATCTAATTGAGTCCGCTGGTCATGTGCTCGCGTGGAAGGGCGTCACTAGCTGGCCGGCGTGTGCGCTCGGGTGGTCCATGGTTGCAACGCAGCCGACAGCTGTCGGTAAAGCCTGACCACTGCAAGCCGCCGCATCGAGACGGCTGCTTCGTGCTCAGGGTGCATCTTGTTGCTTAGAATCCATTTGTTCTAAATTTCGTCACCGGAAACTTTGAAGGTGAGGTGTTGGTTCCCTTTTTTGTCATTTGTACCACCCCCTCAACCTAATTCTTCACCGCTCATTGCGTGGCGGTTTCTGACGGGCCGCTGGGTGCTGCATCGACTGACTCGTGGTTCGTTCGCAGATCTTGCATCCGCCCTAAGCTGTACATTTTGCACATACAAGTAACTATTGTAGCATTTCTTGATTGTCGCTCCCCAACTTATTCCTTCCTGCTGCTCTAGCGGTAGGTCGCTTGGAGCACGTGCACCCAAGGCACCTCTACCTTTTTCACACACCTTACTTTCAAAAAATGGGTGCTGCTTGTGGCAAAAACAAGGCGAAACAGCCCAAAAGGGCTGATCCTAAGGAGCTGGAAGAAAAGGCTCGAAAAGAAGCCGAGGAAAAAGCAGCCGCTGAGGCCGCTGCTCGGGAAGCCGAGGAGCGTGCCAAGGCGGAGGCGGCAAGGGCCGAGGCCGAAGCAGCGGAAGCCAGAGCGCGCGAGGAAGAGGCTAGGGCTAAAGCTGAGGCTGAAGCGGCTGCTGCAGCAGCAGCAGCCGCTGAAGCAGAGGAACAGGCTCGAAGGGCTGAAGAGGAAGCACGTCGCCAGAGAGAGGAGGAAGAGAGAAGGGCCGAAGAAGAAAGGAGAGCTCAAGAGCAGGCCAGCGCAGCTGCGCCCGTCGAGCAGCCAGCAGCAGAGGAAGCTGCTGAGCAACCTGAAGAAGCGGAACCCGCGGAAAAGGAGAAGCAGGTGCCCGCCGAAGACATCGCGAGTGAAGCCACGATGGAGACATCCCGCCCCATGCGTAAAGTGTCCGAGCCCGACTATGGATCCGCACAGAAAGGACGAAAAGCGCGCACTATCACCCCTTGTGACATGACAGCAGTGGATGAGACGAGCATGTATGTCAGCAAGCGTTGTGGGTGCGACATCGGAGCTGAGCACAACGAAAATGCATGCCCCATCTGCCGCAGCATAGATCTCTCAGATGCACCACTTCTGAACTAGGTGTGGGTGAAGAACGTAGGTGCGGGTGAAGAACTTATTTGGTTCAAGGTAGCGTTATCGTTACAGGGGGTGGACAGCGGCTCTTTGAGTGGCACCGAGAGAGCATCCTTGCCAGTTTAACTCCCCCCCCAAAGGTCTGCTTTTTGGCGGACTAGGGGACGTTTTAGTGCATCATGGGGCGGTAATGCTAGCACGCAAAACTGCAATCCTGCGTCTGCATCGGGACTTCAAAAGCCGACGCATCGACAGTAGGCTCTTTGGACAGTTTCAAATAAGAACTGATGCGTGCAGCAAATTTTACAGACTATCGAAGTATCGAAATAATGTCGTAGTGCCGCGGTGTCTGGACAGAGCTACACGCTGCTCCTCAGCGGAGGAGAAGCGTCAGTAATGATGCTGTAAGCGGCAGCTCTAGTTGTTTGCCTAGGCGGGCTCTAGCCTTCAGCAGAGTGCCTCGATAACGGCTACTTTTGGAGAGCGTCCGCAGCGAGTGCCTGCTGATGTGGCACGGCGCGTGGTTTGTTGAATTAGTAGATATTCCACAAGTTCTCGAACTCTGCACAGATGCTGCTGCAGCAAACCTGGGACACCGCACGTAGCAAAGTAGGAGGACAGCTCTGTATATCAGATTTCAGGCCTTTTCTGGCACATTTCTACGCCTATACATAGCCAAAATATCACGGAGCACGGCAAGAAGAGCGCTTTGTGGATAGTTTTACGGCGCCTTGTTCAATAGATAGTTCCGCAAATGCTGTTGCAAGGACCACCACCGATTTGATAACCTGACGAGTAGCTCAAAAGAAGGGAAATACATGTCGAGCTTACTGCTGCACTCAATCCACAGGGGGCAATGGAAATGCACTCCTCTGCCAGCTCGCTGTTGGTGGCTGCGGGTACACGCAAGATCGGAGCCGCCAGAAACTTCCGGCTCACTACCCCACAATGGACCAGAAATACTCCAAGCAAGCTGTGGCGCCGTCCCAGTGAGAACGTTCTTATTAGCTCACTGGGGTTTGCGTGGGCAACAGCACCAACAAGAAACAAAACTGGGTTCTTTGTATCTTGAAATTGTTGTACAAAATCACCGAGATCTACCGGACGGCCTTGAGTGGAGAGGGCTGCGCGGGCGGAATACAAATGTCAAAGCAATGATTTGGAGCTTGCTGTTGCTCGCAACTTTAAAATGACTGCTCATTAAAACGCCCAAAAGGTATATACATGTGTCTCCACGTTGATAGCAAGAGCCCTAAAACGATGACTCCTCTTCAGAAATCTGTCCGCATCGCGGAGAAGCGGTGCGGCGATAGACCACTGTCACTCACCAATTTTCCTGCTGCCCACCGGCAGAAAGAGATTTGCGTCATTTTTTGTTACCTGTTGCAGCAAAAACAGAGCCCCCTGTGTCTGCAGTAGAGTTGTGTCGTAGGAAGTGCTGCTCAACTTAGCCACTGGCTCTATCGATTACAAACGTCAGATTGCAGTCTGCGTCGCTTGGTGGCTTACTTGCATAAGCGTCACATTCTTTTCCACAGCACGTATCCGCCGAGTGTGCAACAGATTAACTGAGGTTCACAAAAACTCCACACTTAGTGCAAACAATACAAAGTCCCCCGCGGCTACCACAGCCGTTTGTTAAGGGTCAGAAGACCGTATTTTCACTCTTCCGGCGGGCAAGTACAACGAACTCGAGATGCACCCGCAAACAGTTGCAAATTTAAGAGAACTATTCAGGCATACTCATAAGCTTTCTGAATTCGTCGTATGTTGGTGGAACCCTGAGTTGCGGATGGACTTCAATAAGCTGCCCACTTTGAGTTCGGATGAACACGCAAAGACGACCTGCCTGTAACATAACACGAACCAACTAAGTCTTGGCAACATCAACCACAAGAGCATCGCAGTGCCGTTAAACGCTGGTGCTGCGTAGTCTTTTCAAGAACATGGCACTCAAGGGCTCACAAGCTAGGTGACTGAAGTATCAAGAGCGCCTCTCTCCGGCTTACTTTGTTCAAGGGCGACTCCTGCAAGGCTATAAGGCACTGGTGCGTTATGTCTGGCCTTACATCCTTCACAACACCACAGCGCAGGAAAGAACACCAAGAACCCGGAGTTACCGTGTCTTTCTACAGGTGCAGAAGCCCTTTGCTCTGCGCAGTGAAAATGCCTAGATACTGGCTCCCTATCCGCGCCCTCCTCTTGATGCCACAGTAGTGCAAAGTCACACTGCAAGACAAGCTCCGAGCAGACTACTTGGACTACCCGCAGGCTCACTGCGATACTCCTGTTTTCTTGCTGCAGCAACTTCCGGTGTTGGAAGCCTTCAAGTAGTTGAAGAGACCCTTCCCGTCCCTTAGCCAGATCCAAGACACTGAAACACACCGTAAATGATACATAGGCTAGCCTGTTTTCTGTAAAGGGGCCACACCCAGGAGCTCACGTAGTCTGAGGTCTTCGGGCGTGGCTTACGCATCTTCAAGCAAGACGACAACTTTCCTCCCCTGGAGACGATCTGCGCGCTTCACTTCTGCTCTGGGTGCTACCTGCTCCCACATTTCCGCCGAGCGAGGAGCGTTTGTCCCTGTCCACATCTGGAGGCAACCCCACACCGGGGTGCCGCACTACAGTCCAGCGGTATAACGCACTTAGGACCGATTTTTAATTCACTAGGGCGCAAAAATGTATCATAGAAGAATCAGATAGAGAATCAATGAATTGCAGAAGTTTGACACATGGTAGTTGCACGGCACTGTAGGTGCCGGTTCAGGCTACGACCTGCTGGCCAATACAGTACGACTGCAACCAGTACAGGAACAGCCATAACATGAAAAGCAAAAACAGCTCATACCTTTATACAAGTTGTCTATAACGTAACAGCACTCCAATGGGGCTGGGATGAGGTTCGCCAGCGCATGCAGCGTGAAGATCAACTTCGATTCTGATCCACATCCAGAGTTCTGCTTCGGCTGCCCTCAAGAATAACGTGGATATCTGAGGTTCCCAAGAACATTTCAATGCCTAAGCGCCTTAGATGAACAGAACGTGATTTATACAGCCGATGCACTCTTAGCCTAGCTGACAAGTAAGTGAGGGCTCTTCCCAGTGCTGTAGACTCAGTGATGTAGACCTTCTTGGCAGGGAGACTATCTGATCGTGCGTCTTTCTAGCCATTGAAATGGCCTTCTACATGATCAGAAGCAACGGTACATTAGGTTCAGTTGCCAGTTCCATAGCTCAGTTGAGTGTACACCAGGCACCTCCTACACGCCCGTTGCGGAGATGCATTCCTTACCATCCTAAGATATCTGGGTGTGAATCATTTAGACAAAGTGTTTCTACTGTCAAGCCCGGAAAGAAAAAAAATTCAGTCCCAGAACAGCCCTCATATGTAGTGCACAGCGTGTACTGCTGCGACTACATTACTACCTGGCCCACAAAGCAGACCATCAGGCACGTTGGAGTATGGAACGGTGCTTCATACGCTGGGGTTTCTCGAAATCGGACGCTGACGCAGCAGTTCTGTTAAATGCGTGCGTCAATGTGGGTAGCTTGGAGCTGAATGCTGTGCAGGTTGGTGCTCAATGCTTGGGGAACAAAATCTGGGAAATAATGGTAATCCAAAGAGCCGCGGGTTGCCTATACCTCATGGTAGTGAATTTCCACTGATATCCTGTTCCGATACTTTTCCTTTCGCCGCGTCGTGCTGCCCAACCCCATGTGTACTCGTAAGCAGCCTACGGTAAAAGTTTTTAATTATAGCTTGTGCGGAAAATAGTTTTCTGTAACACCTGGTGGGGGGATCAAGTCTAGAGTATGATGCCCTAAACTCTACAAATGACTTCGTTCGCACTACTTCGTTCCCGTTATATTTGATCTGGCACTCAACCCTAAACTACAACCCTCGTTGTAGTACTACCCTCTGTATTTCCTGCAAGCTGGATGTAGCAAAGTCATGGCCAATATGAGCACTGTTGAAAGTACGTCCGTGCAAGCAACCCTCCTAAGGTTGGAAACTATAACTGTGGGGCAAAGTGCTCTCACGGTGAATGACACCCCACAGCTAACGTTACCCAGAGTCGCCCATCCCGACACATCCCGCTGCACAGCGGGGGATTAGGACAACAAGAAGCAGAAGCCCCTCAACAAATGGACCAAGCTGCGGAGTTTCCGGGTTAAATCGATAGTTGCAGCAAGTGCGCAGCATCCTTTATGTCGAGTGCCACACCATGGCGTCAATCAACAATAAAGACGCTGCCAGACGCAAGAGGCCGCAAAGTTAAATCTGTCCCCAATGTAATAGAGATGCTGTTTACCAAAGGTTCTGGGCCAGCGATACTGCGGAAGCAAGATACGGAAACGCTTATACAAAAAATGCCCTCCTGCTTTCGTGCACTGAGCGTAGCTAAAGGCTACGGGCGCCGGCATGAACAGCTGGGCAGAAGTAAGGTGTGGAAAACTCCTATGCTTCTGCACCATTGGGTGCGTGGCCTGTATTCGGCAGATTGTAGCTAATCCAAGATAAGGGAACCAAGAAGAGCCCTTGGCTAAGTTTGGGAAGATCGTTGGTTGAGGGATGGCATGCCTGTGGCGGTTCGTGTGCGTACTACTTGGCTAACCCTTCACTCAAGCTGCCCAGGTGTTCGTTTCCTAACAAAAGGGGCCACCGTAAAGCTTAAGGACTGACTAACTATATTGCGAGGCCCAGGTGGAGCCGAGGAGCAACAGTGGTGGAGGCGGAGGGGAGGATCGGAACTATGCCTCAGTTGTAGTGCACTGCATCTACTGCTGCGAGTACGCTGCTACCTGTCCCCTCGAGCAGGGGCCTATTCTCAGCCTCTAACTTCGGCGCATTTCTTTGAAACAGCAACCCAAATATAACGAAATACAGTTATCTTGAAGATCCCCTCCACTCGGGGTTCTCGCCTCATAGGGCCTGTGAGGAGGATGTAGTGTGTAGTGCACAGGCACTACAATAGGGCTTGCTGCTGACCGTAGGAAGATAGCTAGCTAGCGACCTACAAGGGGTCGCAACACTGGAGGAGGACAGGACCCTCCTACCAGGATCAAAGTAAGGCAATTTGTCTGCGAATTAAGATACATACGCTAGAGTTGCCTGGAAATGCGTGGAGACTGGGGCTGGCGATAGCGCCGGCACCAGTGCAGGCCTCCTCCCCACAGGGCCTAGGAGGCGAGCACCCCGAGTGGCGCGGATTTGAAGACAACAGATTTTGGGAAAACTAAGAATAACTGCATTTCGTTATATATGGGGTACTGTTTCAAGGAAATGTGCCAACGTTAGGTGCCGATCATAGGCCCCTACTCAAGGGGGCAGGTAGCAGCGTAGTCGCAGCAGTAGGCGCTGACCCTACAGAGGAGGCCTCTATCGCCAGGCCCTGTCTCCAAGTATTTACAGGCACCTCTAGCGTATGCATGTTAATTCGCAGGCAAATTCCCTTACTTCGACCCTAGTAAGATGGTCCTGTCCTCCTTCAGTGTTACGACCTCTTATCGGTCGCTAGCCAGTTATCTTCTATAGGTCACCAGCAAACCCGATTGTAGTGCGTGTGCACTACAACTTCTCCCCTTGCGGGACTGAACAGACCTACCCAAATACATTATTTTTGCCTTTTCAATCTCTATTATCTTCTGAAGCTAACGCTGTGAGCGCATGCGGTGCGCAGCGCTCCCTCACCCCTCCTCGTCGAAGTTGCCCGTCATGCAGGCGGCGGAAGGTGACGGACCCAAACCTCTACGCCTTGCAAGGACCAAGATTGTTTTGAGCCTGGAAACGTCTTCGTTGGCGGCGGCGCCAAGCGCGAAGCAAAGCCGGGCAGCCTGTAAGGTGGTGAGCGGGCTCCCATGTGGCTTGATCTTCAAGGGTCCCGTGCGACTTCACGAGGTACTGGGCTGCATCTCCCGAGCCGCGTTGGTCCACAATATAATCGGCTTCATATTCCTCTGTTGGATTGCCTCCTGCACTGCGGATAGGAGGCCAGGAGGCGTTGGCTTCCGGGAGAACCAAATCGGGAGGTCGGGGAAGGTTGTGTAGTACTCTGCGCACTCAACAGCGTCTACGTTGCTGCAAAACCCTGAACTCTGCTGACCAGTGAAATCTTCTCTACTACTGACGCATCTGTAACGTAATATCTACTAATTTATTAAAAAGTTCGTTTTGTTTCAAATTTTCCAACCCATATTTCTCATATCTGATGTTTCTTATCGTTCTTGCTCCGCTGGTTCGGTGAGGATGTGATGCGCGCCGATGCTGGCGTTGTCGGCAGCCCCAATCTTAAAGCATTCGCAGGCATTTTTAGTTTATACATGTTCATTTGTTATAAACTGCATCTCTATTTCACTAGTAAGAGGTTACAGGGCTCAATCCGCGTCTCAACCTCTTAACCGCTTATAGGTCATCAGTTAGCTATCCTCAATAGGTCACCAGCAAGCCCCATTGTAGTGCCTGCGCACTACAGGTGGGAAACTAGCTGCGAAACGTGGAAACCTTCGTGGCATTCGTAGGTGGGAGGCAGAGCGAGACGGTAAGCGACGGTCCCTATGCGTCCGATTATTTCAAAGGGTCCGCGGTAACGGGGCTCGAACTTAGGGCAACTGTTGAAAGGCGGTAGGTGATTGCTACTGAGCCAGACCTTGTCTCCCACTGCATACTCCACTGCTCGTCGCTTTGTGTCTGCGTAGTACTTCTGCTGCCATTTTGCCGTCAGGATGTGACTTTGTGCTCTGTCGCAGACCTGCCGGAAAAGCTTAGTCATAGGAGGAGTGAGCGTAGGAGCTAACGCGCCTATGATATCAACAAATTATCGCTAATCATGACCTCGAAGGGAGAGAGCTCGGTGGATGAATGACTTGTCGTGTTGTAAGCAAGTTCCAAGGCCAGAAGCAAACGCTCCCACTCGCGTTCGTCAGATTGGATGTAGGAACGAAGCATCTGCTCGAGTGTGCGGTTAACCCGCTCAGTTTGACCGTCGATTTGGGGATGGTAGGACGAGGACATGCACTGTTTGATGTTAAAGCGGCTACAGAGTTGGTTCCACAGATCCGACTGGAAGCGCGGATCGTGGTCCGGTATGACCACCTGTGGAAAACCGTGATGGCGGGTAAGACAGCCTCCGAGGAGCTCCACGGTGTCTGCTGAATGACTTCTTTGCAGGAATGAAATGAGCCATCTTGCTGAGGGCGTCGACCATCACGAAAATCGAGTCGTGCCCTGTCGCCGTAAGAGGAAGCTCTGTGATAAAGTCAAGATTCACGTGCGCCCACCGACAAGAAGGGATGAGTTACTGTTGAAGAAGGCCTGCAGGTTTCTGGTTAAGGGACTTTGACGCTCGACAGTGAGTGCGTGATTCAACATAAGCAGTAGTTAGGCGCGCATTCCTGGCCATTAATAATGCTTGCTGAGAGGCGCAAAGGTCTTTTTCTGGCTTCGATGGCCAGCTGTGACATGGTCGTGATGTGATGTGAATGCAGAACTTGAGTAAGGAACTCAAGGAATTGTGGAACGCAGATGCGACACAGTCCATGGACGCAGATGTGCAGGTAAGACTGCACGTAGCGATAGGTGAATTGGCGATTACGAAACTCTATTTGCACAGCTTCTCCTGGTTGGTTTGTTCCGGCTTTGTGGGGAACGCGAAAAACGGGACACTTCACGTAAGCTTGCGGCCATTGGCGCACATCAGGAGGGTCAAAAGGTGTCTTCGTTGTGAGTGTAGGATGTCCCGCCTCTGGATTGGGTTCCGGCGGCGCAGGTGAAGGTGTGGGCGGCAGGCTGCGTCGTCTGGGTCGTCGCGAACGAATTCCGGCGAGCTCCCTGTAGTTGTCAGGCCGACCATGAGAGCCAGGAGCCGCGCGCGCTTGTCCTACTGCGTGCATCAATGGTGTCGATGGTGTGTCGTGCGAGCAGGTGTTAGGAAGACCGGGAAAGCGATACAAGGCATCAGCCACTTGACTGCGCACTCCTTGAACATAAGTGATGTGCAAATCCGGCAACTCGGCCAGGAAGTCTAACCACAGGGCGGTGCGTCCACCGGGCGGTGCGTCCGCGCAGAGGCTTCGATGCTTGGAGTTGTTGGAGATGGGTGAGAGCTTGATGATCAGTGTAAGCCGTTACCTTGGAAACGCGGAGCAAGTGTGACCACTTGTCCAGTGCCGTAACCAACGCTAAGAGTTCCTAATCGTACATCGAGTATCTCTGTTGTGTGGGGTTCATGACTTGGCTGAGGAAGCCAATGGGCTTGCCGTCTTGTTCCACAACTGCTCCAATCGCATAACTAGAGGCGTCTGTGTATAACTCGAAGGGTTTTGTGGTGTCAGAGACTTGTAGTGTAGTGAAGTCGAGTACGCGCTGTTTGGGCTGCCGCACCGCTTGCGTGTGAAGGTCTGTCCATTTGAAATTAACGTCTTTACGCGTAAGATTAAACAGCGGCCGGGCGACGTCTGCATAGTCCGGTCCCATGAACATGCGACAGTAATTTATGGTGCTGAGGAACTGAAGCACCTGCGTTTCGTTCTCCTGCGTCTCTGGCCAATGCCGGATGGCATCGATTTTGTCTTCTGTAGGTTTGATCTCCGCAGCAGAAATGGTATAACCCAAATATGTAATTGTTTGCCTTGCAAACTTGCATTTGCGGAATTTTGGGTAGAACTGATATCTGAGAAAAATACTTAGGACCTGGCGCAGGAGAGAAACGTGCCCACAGAGATCGGGACTATAGATAAGCACATCATCTAGGTACGCAATAACTCCCTGTCCCAATAAATGTTGTAGATAGGCATTAATATTGGCCTGGAACGTAGCGAGAGCACCCTTAAGGCCAAAGGGCATTACTCGGTACTCGAATGGTCCGAGAACAGACAGGAAAGCCATCTTCCACCGGTCTTCCGCAGCCATACTTATTTGATGAAATCCTGCTCCAAGGTCGAAAGTGGAAAAATACTTGGCGCCTCCCAGCATCTCCAGAATGGTCTGAATGGGAGGTAGTGGAAAAGTAAGGGAATTTAGAGCCCGATAATTAGCAACCATACGCATCTTCCTCTCGCCGGAGCCATCATCACGTTTCTCTACCATGATCGTGCGAGAGCAAATAGACGAATAGGTCAGTCCAATCCAACCATTGTCCGATAATTTAGCTATCTCCTGTTTGTGGAATGTATGCTGATCTGGGGTCTTACGGTATATTGCAGATTTCGCTGGAAGTTTTCCACGCACAAGTAGGATATGTGATCATGAGGGCGTTTCGGCGGTAATCTCTTAGGTAAGTTATCGGGAAAGAGCGCTGGATACTCCTGCAACACCTGGATAGTCTTACGTGGAATATCCTGCGCCTCTGTCGAATTTGTCCGTTCGTTGAACAGAGTGTGCTCGAGTTTTGCCATAGGCCAAGGAGACTCCTCTTCAAACTCCGCTGCCGTCAAGGCGGTGGAGGCCAAAGGACTACTCCAGCCGGAGGAAGTGGGTTGATTCCCAATTAACGCGCAGCAAAACGCGCCTTGCCAGTGACCCGAGAACCTTAGGGGCACCGCCGAACCGGCTTCGGGCAAAGCCAGTATGAGATGCAAACCGTGCAATGGAGCCCTGAGATTCTTTGTGTCAGCCGCCGCCTGACGAACGAGCGATGTTATCCGCGCCTTCCCCTTAGTCTTCGCGTGGGACTTATACCTCCTTGGAGGCGGGCGTAGGAATAGAGCGGCCTCCTCGGCTGACATACCCGCCACTTGTTTGGCCAATATCTCATACGCTTGCTCTGCCGGAGTCCTTGGGTAGACTACGGTGGTACTGCCATCTTGCAGCTTTGCTTCACCAGTCTGAACGACCGGTAACTCGCACCACTGGCCATTCACATAGGTTCGGAGTTTGTCGGACTGAAAATACCAGGCCACCTTGTGTTCCGTCAGCCAATCCAAACCCAAGACTAAGTCATAGGGAACGGGTCTCACTAAAAAGTCCCCGGAAAAACGTGCATATCCGCATCACATCGTCAATCTCGTCACAACCCGATCAATGCGTAGTTGTTCACCTGTAGCTACGGTGAACCCATGCTCTTCTGGAAGTCTCCGCACCTTCAGGTGCAGTCGTTCGACTGTTTTAGGACATGAACTTTTCGAAGCCCCAGTGTCCAAGAGGGCCCCACAAGGACTCCCTGCGAGCTCAACACGAAGTACCCGTCGCACCCACATAACACAATGCTCACCCTTGGTCGTAAGACTCTACATCGCGTTCACTCCCGCTGAGTACTTATATGACACTAGGTAGCTCAGTTGCATTTGCCTGAGCATCGAGCAGTAGCTCCTCTGTAAAGCACCTGGCCTTGGATTTATGGTATGCTTTGTAGTGTTTGGGAGGGGAGCTGGGGAACGTCGCCGCCTCTGCTGCAGCCACGTGGGATACTTGTTGGGCCGGCTAAGCTGGAGTCAGGGCTTGCAATTTCTGTGCTTGTTTGTCCTGCCCTTTTCCTCTTACGTTCTTCTGACTGGTGGATCGCACCATCAACCACTGAGCCATTTTCGTAGCTTATCAAACTGAACGTATCAGGCCACATTGTGTAGTGCACAGCGCCTACTGCTGCGACTGCGCATGTACCTTTCCGACGAGTAGGGGCCTATGACAACCTTCTACCTTCGCCACGTCTCCTTGAAATAACAGTCCAAATATCATAAAATGTAGTTATTTCTAGATTTCCAAAATCTATTTTCTTGAAAATCTCCCCCTCAGGGTTCTTGCCTCCTTGGCCCTGTGGGGAGGAGGTGTCGTGCACAGCACGTACTGTAGTGAACAGCTGGCCTACACTGTTACTATGTATGGTCCCTGGGCTAGTCGGGCTAGTCTGACTAAGTGTACACTCTGCATGTACTATCTAAAATTCATGATTCTCGCCAACTACTGCTGTATACCCTAAATGGCCATATACAACTGAGTTCATATTATTGAGAGGTAAGAAAAACCCAAAATAATAGAACTGACTGTTGACCCTCGCTGAGAGTCGGTGCCTGAGTCACGGCACCAACCTCGCATCCAGCCCCATACCCGGTGCTGGCTAGCGAGCACACTATTCCCTTTTATGATTTCCTAATATCCAATGGTGCCTTATACCTTAAAATATTCTATATTATTCATGCCCTTTCGCGTTACTAACTCTCCAGTCCATCCTGACAGAAGAACGTCGTCAGGATGGGTGGCGTTTGCGCTGGAGGCGCCGACACACCCGAAGTAAGGCGGGACACCTTGCCAAATGATGTGCGGGTTCCCATGTGGCCTCTTCCTCGAGAACACCCCGCCACTTAACAAGATAGTGCGCCTCCTCTCCAGTCCCTTTTTGGTCCAGGATATAGTCGACAAGATACTGGTCCGTAGGGTTGCCGGCGTCATCGCGCGCTAGTGGCCAGCCCATTGGAGCTTCGTGTGGAACTAAAGCGGGATCGCGGGGATGATGTGGGACCAATTGTGAAACATGAAAAACATTGTGTCCCTCGTATGCGGGGGGCAAGTCAAGACGGTAAGCGACCGTGCCAATGCGTTCGGTCACTGTGAAGGGCCCACGGTATTTAGGTTCAAACTTAGAACAATGGTTAAGAGCAGGTAAGTGTTTGCCACTAAGCCAGACTTGGTCGCCCACCTTATATTCCACAGCCCTGCGGCGGGCGTCAGCGTAGTATTTCTGACGCCACTTTGCCTGGAGGATGTGGCTCCGTGCGCGATCGCAGAACTGCCGGAAGAGTTTAGTCATAGGGGGAGTGAGCGTAGGAGCCAAAGCACCAACAATGTCTAGGTCCGCTGCGGTTAAGGGATTCTCCCCAATCATGATTTCGAAAGGGGAAAGCTCAGTAGAGGAATGACTGGTGGTGTTATACGCTAGCTCCAAGGCAGGCAGCAGGCCTTCCCACTCCGTCTCATCTGCCTGGATGTACGTGCGTAGCATCTGTTCAAGGGTGCGGTTAACTCGCTCGGTCTGGCCATCCGTTTGCGGGTGGTAAGAAGAAGACATCGCCCGGGCAATATTGAAACGTGAGCACAATTGCGACCGCACTTCCGATTGGAAACGAGGATCCCTGTCGGAAACAAGGACGTCGGGGAAGCCGTGGTAGCGGATGAGACGGTCAGCAAGGAGCTCTACAGTGTCAGCGGCTGAGTGGGACTTCTTGGCCGGAATAAAGTGAGCCACCTTGCTGAGAGAATCAACAACGACCAGGATGGCGTCGTGCCCAGTGGTAGTGAGGGGTAAGTCAGTGACGAAATCTAGGCTAACATGGCTCCACCGGCGCGAGGGGACAAGCAGCTGCTGTAAGAGGCCGGCGGGTTTCTGATTGAGGGATTTGGATGCGCGACACTGCGTGCAGTGTCGCGCACGCGTTGGTGTAAGTACGCATGCCAGGCCAATAGTAATGCTTGCTGAGGGCCTTGTAGGTCTTCTTTTGGTCTCGATGCCCGGCGGTGACGTGATCATGGTGCGTGTACAGGACGTGAGTGAGGAACTCTGGAAATTGAGGCACGCAAATGAGCCAGAGACCATTAATGCAGATATGTAAGTAGGGCAGAACAAAACGGAAGGTATGACGACGATGTTGGAACTCCAGTTGAACAACTTCACCCGGCTTGGTAGAGGCAGCGTTATAAGACTCGCTGAACACAGGGCACTTAGAATACGCTGCCGGCCAGTCGAGGACGGGAGAACTGGGCGTAGATGTCGGGTCTGCCGGCGTTGGAGATTCGGGAGCGGGTTTGAGCGTAGGGGTCGGGGGTGGAACCGGCGGTGACGGAGTGCGTTTCCGGGAGGAACGTCGGCGGAGGCCGGCAAGTTTCCGGTAGTCAGGATCTGTTCCCCGGGTCTTGTTCCCCGGGTCTTGTGCGATGGTTGGGGCGGGTCAGTCGCTGGCCCGACAACTGCAAGGGACCCAGAAGGGGCCGCAGGGGGGT